GAAAAAAGTGCGAGTTAATGTGTTGTGAAGTAGAACAAAGAATAATATAAAGATAAAACAGGCAGTCGACGACAAAGAAAAAAAGAGAGATTAGAGGATGCTAAAATGACAAAAATTACCGTAACAGTTTTTGCAAAATTACGAGCAGCTTTCTCCACGAGGTGTCCGTAAAATATGCCTGGCGCAGCATAGATAGGGCAAACGAAGATAAACGAAAAGTGATGGCCAATATCACGTTTCATTTAAAAAAAAAAAAAAAAAAAAATGAAAACTTGAAAATCTATGTTGAAAACTACGGTATTCCTACCCATATTTTCTACAATATTAAATTAAAAATATATTTTTTATACACGACGGGGGTTCTATAATAAATACTTTTATAGAATGCGCGTATCGTTCAATTTCCCGCTCTGACTCTGAAAATATTACGCGTGTTTTAAAACATATACGCTCCACTAGTAACGCAATTTTTCAATTATATCAATTAACTCTTCAAACATTTACATCGCTCGAGACTCGAACTTCCGCACGCTTTTTTCATTCCCCTTCACCCCTCCCCCCCTCCCCGGCTGGTATCCGCGTTTCCACAGGTTTCGCATCGACAGCGCGCGGATAAATTTGACGCGAAGCTGTATAAATATATATATAAAAAAAAAATGCGAGAGTAAAAAGAGAAGATCAGATCGCTGTAACAAATCTGGCCAAAAAGCGTCAAAGGGCGTCGGCGGCGGCGATTAAGATCCTCATGCGAAATTGATGCTAATTGATTTAATCCGGCCGGTATTTACGGCGGGCAAATGAAACGAGTGTTTTCACCGTGACGTCAGATACCGGTACCGGTATAATATCCGTTCCCCCCTACCCCTCTCCCACCACCAACACCGACGCCGCCGACGCCGACGCCGACGCCGTCGCTGCACACCGACACCGTCGTCGGGGATGCGTAAAAACGCCGCTCTCGCATACACGCCGATGTGTGTGCAGTCTATAATCGAGTTATGCACGCCGCATTTTTCCATCAGCTCTGCCTCTCTCCCGTCGATCAAAGAGCGCGCGCCCGCCCGCCCCCGAGCTCGCGCGCGCGGGGGGTAACAGCAGCTGGGCAGGGCGGGGAGGGAGGGGAGGGAAGGGTGCTCATAAAACGTTAGTAATGCATTCCCGGTATATAAAATGCCGCTCGTTCGCGCAACGCGCGATATACACACATCAAACGGTTTATAAATCAAAACTTATAAAAAATTTTTGCGTATACGATATTACCGCCCGGCCGCGTTTTCCCAGCCCGTTTCTATGCCGGGTGCGCATTAACGCTCCCAATAACCCCTTCCCGTTTTTTTCCCCAGCTCGCTTCGCTGCCCCCCTCCCCTCCCCTGTCCCTCCCGTCCTCGTCCGCCCCGCGAAACGTTTTCCGGCGGAAAGTAATCGGGCAGATCGCTCGCTTCATTTGTCGCTCGGCCACACGATAAAATGCCGAAAGTTGCGACGAAAGTGTTGTAATGAGTACATCGTTACGCGCATTTCCGGGTTATCGCGGGAATAACGCCGTTGTCGCGTTCGGACAGATTGCTCCGGAGCGATCGAGGAATTAATTGATTCGATCTGTCTATATCGATTCCCCAAAATGCGGAGAAGCGCACGAAATTTATTCTTTAAAAATTTATTGTTAGTCAAGAAATCATTATCACTTGCTCGATCGAGGATATTAATCAAAGATTCGTTGCACTTACCCCCGCGTTTAAGCGACCGCGGGAAAAGATGGATTAGAAGGATGGTGTTGTGCAGAAAAACCTGAATAGGCAGGATTGGAGAATCACACACGATATTAGTAAACAAAGCCGTATTCACACGCGCTTATCATTGCGTCACGTCGCACGATTTCGGCCACTGCCGAGTGTCGACTAGCTCCGCTAGCTCGGCCGACAATTTTTTCATTATTATGCATTTCTACAAGCGCGAGCCTAATCGGCGCGCAATGATTCGCGCTTAATTTGATCTTACAATTAATTTGCAGGAAAACTTCCCCTCCCCCCGCTCTTCCTGTATCTTTTAAAATAAATTCGACCTAGATAAATCGCGTAATTATTTCTGTCGCTTCTTTAATTATTTTTGACAATAAACCTTTAATTGTAGAAAATGAGAAAATAAACGGAAACTGTTATTCGCGTTTGACAATTTTTTAAATATCCTTTTCACTGAAAATCATCGATAAACTCAAACGATTCGATTCGCAAACAGATTATTACCAAATCATTTGTAATTAATATATTTTTTGCATAATCTAGATATGAAAACTGCACCTACCCTTCCCTTTTAATTCCATTGTTTTTAGTTTTATTTAAAAAGAATATCGATACTTTGTTTTACAAGTATAAAAAATTGTATTTTGCTTTCTTTAAAGATCAAACATTTCCGTCATGTCTGTCCGTTTTATATATTTCTTTTTGCATATACATTTTGTGCTAATATATCGCATTACTACCAAATTCTTAAAATAAAATAATTGATATTTTTATAAAAATGTTTATGAGGAAATAAACATTAAAGTTTTCAGTATACGTGATCCATTAAGTATTATAAATCTGACAATGAATAAATACGATCTTTTAGTATACGCAATGCGCGATTATATAATTGAATTAAATTAAACTTAATTAAATTATATATAATACTGTGGTACTACTAGGTATATTGCATAATTAAAATATAATAAGATATCCAAAATAACCAATTATATAAATATTGTACATGCTATATCAACCGAAAGCTTTTTAATAAAAATTGAATAATTTGCATGAGCACGATCAAACTGATATTTTTTTATGCCGCAAAATAAATTCGGGAATTTTTGATTCGGGCTAATAATCAACATAACACTAAATATATTATATACAGCTAATATTGATTCGCGGCCAATTGATGTGGGATCGTTTGCCAGAAATAATGAACGCGACGAATGATAATGACGTGACAAAAATATCGAATTATGACTCGATGAGCGGGTTCGCAAGAGCGAAACTTCGCTCCGTTACTTCTCTCGTAAAACGTCCAAAGTTTTATGTAATTGTAACGAGGCTGATAACACCCGACTAGAGATGACGTGAGATCAGAAGCAAGATAATAAACTTTTCTATCAACATTGCTTGTCGTAAGTATAAATTTTTCTCGATATATAATACATGTTTATATTAGTACAAACTTTATATCTTTACTGGTTTTTCATTCATACGCTCCATCAGAATTATTTTTAATATGTAAGTCAGAAATTTTATTTTGATATAAACATCAAGTATTTTTATGTAATTGACTATAAGATAATCTGTTCTAGCCTATTCATTTCATTTAATCTGTGATCTATGTACACATCTGTCATTATCTGTCTTTCTATTAGATTAATACAACATATATGTACTTGATATTTATTTCGTTAAATTTAGAAATAAAAAAAGATTTGTTTATACCTCAATATAAAATAAAAAATTTATCATTTACCGATAGATGCGCAGTAGCGGAGTAGTAACTACGTCGATCTGTAACACAAACGTAAGAATCCCAATTGTAACAGCATCCAAAATAATTTAAAATATTTTTAAAAAACATTTTTAAACGTACTTGATGAAATATAATTATATAATATTTCGAAAAATCTCTTTTTCGAGCTTCCGTAAGATTTCATACATAAAATTCCCTTTTAATTGTTCTTTTTTTCGGACAAATTAACAATGAATTAAAATTAATATACACATATATATTATAAGAGACTCACCTCGAGGTTGCTCCGCCATCGCCTGATGCCTGCCCAGGCCTCCTCCTCCTCTGACAGAGATCCCTCGGTTGCAAGAATGCACAGCACAACATAGCACTCGCGTAAATACACCTATAATTACGATCGCGCGCGAATTCATTGTCGAACTCGATGAAAAATATGACATTTTTGCGCGCGACGCTGCCGCGGCACTCCCGGGGACTAATTAGGTACGAATATACACGATACAAGCTGATAATGGCTAATCGCAAGGAATAGTCGTGCCTAACTTACTACTTACGAAGCGCTAATTACCACGACCGTATATTCATGAATAACTTCAATAACCGCGCAAAACGTAGTAAGCATTGTCGCCCGCCGCCGCCGACTCCGGGCCTCTGCACGATTACGCGAATGGTAGCGTAAACAAACACTGCGCGTCGCGAGCAATGACCGCGGTGTTTGGCTGTTGACCGCTACATAATATTTATCGCGTTATTAAACGTAAGTATCTTTTGTATCCTTCGTGTCGAGCTGATTTCTAATGAACAGTATACTATAACGGCTCTATTTCCATCACCCGAGTCGCTCGGTATTCCAGCGATTCGCGTATCACTTTACGGCCTTCACGCCGATGCGGCCAATGATCCGGAAACGACGCACGATTTCGGTCGCCGGATGCCGGGTGTTGACTAGCTCCGCTAGCTCGGCCGGTAATTTTTTAATTATGCATTCCTACACGCGCGACACGCGATCCTGTTGGCCCGCGCGCGGGCATAATCGGCGCGCAATAATTTGCGCTTAATTTGATCTCTTTTTATTTTTACAATTAGATTGCAGAGAAACTCCCCCTCCCCCCGCTCTTCTTATATCTTTTAAAATAAGTTCGTTCTAGATACATTTACATAAAGACTGCAATAAAATAGTAATTTAATTCTTATGTTTTAATTATTTCAAATTGAGTAAATCACGCGAGATATTTTCTTCAGTAAATCGCTTTTATACGCTTATTCGAGTTTTTAATCGCGGAAGAATGATCAATCGTAAAAAGTTGATTGCTTGATCGTAAAAATGGAGTATTCGTAATATCTGTCGCGATCGCATTTTGAAGAATAATAATAAAAAGGGAAAAAATATCACTGTTCTAAAACTACATGTATAACATGTGTATATTATATATGCATATTAAAATTAAACAGTGTAATGTGAACATCTAAAATTTAATTTTATAATTATGATTTATCTTGACGCTATAGTTCTTTTACATATATACATATATCTCGATTAAATTCAATCTTATTATATCGCTGGACTTATATTATCTTAAAAACTTATTACCATCTGTAATCGATGTTATAACATATAAGATAAATTCGCATTTCTCTACGTTTTACAAATATAAAATATAAAATTATTATTGTATTATTGTAATATTAAAAGTGCGGTATTTACATTTTGTATTCTCTACACTTGAACTTTAGCTCTAATAATTATCAAATCGTCACGTGAGAAATGCCGTAAATTACATACACACGTTAATTTAATATATACAATAATCGATAATAATTTGATTAGTATATAACACGATGAAATGTTCTCGCAGAATCATAAACCTTTTAAATTCAACAAATTCTCATATTTCTCTATTTGCATCTCGAGTTGCTTTATACGTTGATCAAAATCGATATCTTTTCGACATGATGTCTGATTCCGATTCTCCAATCTTGTTATTCTTATCTCGGCCTAAATAAAAAAAATATATTATTACATATAAGATATAATTTATAAATTAATAATAATGATGTCGTGATAGTTCCGGAAGTGGAGCAATCAATAAAACAAAATAGTTTTTATTTACGCGAATTTTTTTTCTTTTGTTTTAAAAAATCGCAGACATTGATTGCTTCTGTTCCAAGAGAACTATGGCATATACTTAAATAGCTTCTAAATGATCAATATCTTTGTGCAATTATATTGTATATTATATTATTAATGTCCGCTCTAAGACAATTTAATATACATTCAATTAATTTGTGTGAAATAATTTAGCTAATTCTTATTACGAGTAACATCGAATCTTCACCTTATCTAATTGTCATTGACAATTACCGCTCGATAAAATGTTTGCTGACGACAATCTAAAATTAAGCTAAGATTTCGTGTAAACAAATTCTGTAAATTTCTAAACTTAGCACTTCCTTTTTTTTTTAATGGAACGACTATCGTTTCTGTGATAACGAATGAGAAAAAGACACCTTATAAGTATAATTAATTTTTGAAAGATGTATCACGTGATCAAAAATGACTCAGGTTTAATTTTAAGTGAAAATTAATAACGTGATTTATTAACGCTAACTCGATCGTCGATCGTTGTAATCTGGCACCTTATGACACAATAGTAGGTATTCACAGACAGACCAATATTTTATAAGTCGCACAATATATTTCCAAAAACTTTTGATTAACATAACGTCCGGACGATTAATTAATATTGTGCAATGTCAAATATTAATCTTTTAGAAGCCGTTTTTAACATATGCCGTCCCAAAAAATTACAACATGTCGTTCGGCATTGCGGACATGTTTTTGATGTCTTCTATTTAAAATCACGGTTTGCGTACATCATATTTTTTCGCGATTATACGCAGCATGGCCACCCACAGTCGCACAATTTCCGTTTTTCGCTCGTTATTCTGTAAGAACAATGCACATTTCGTATTAATGAAAATGTAATTGTAACAACATTCGTAATAATTAAAATATAATAAAGTACTTTGTCATTGCATGCCAATAGATTTTTCAATAGTTCGTAACACTTCATCTCATAAAGGGAACCTTCGCGACGTATTTCCTGCTCCAACACCGCAATCTTTGCATTCTTCGATTCTATCTCCAGTCTCAACTCCGATATCTTGTTTTTCAACGTTATACAACCACACTCTGATCTTGTCTTAGCTTTGATCTTGTCTTGTAGCTCGAGAATTTCGGCGTGATATGAATAAATCTGGTCTCGTAGCTTCGCGCTCTTAACGTCGTACTCGCGAATAACGTCCGCCAATTCGGTAAATTTTAGATCAGTCGTAAAAACACTTTCAAACTGCAATTTCACGTTTTTTTCCATTATCACTAGTAGCGTGTAACTCTCGACGTCCCTTCTGATTTACATGACTTTCGAAGCGGTACGCGCCGCGATCCACTCGTCCGAGCTTCGGTATACGAATGATAGCGCGGCGCGTTATTTTGTGTAAATAAACGTCACACGGTTTAACAAATAACAATGTCGTTGAGTTCAAAATAAAGATATAAGTTATTCTCCAAATATTTCAATAATTTTTTGAAGAAAAGAAATTAATTATTTTCATTAAACGTATAAATTTAAATACATACGCGTCAGTGAAACTTATTAATCAATTATGAATTAAATTGTTATTAATCAGTTTATCATTATCTCTGTTAGGCTCATTAAGTATATCTCATTGAATATAATCTTGCGTTTTCTATATATATATTTATATACTCCTCTGCAATTTTCGGCGCGTCGATGTGATAGCCGCCTGTGAACGGTAGCTTTTCGCAAATGGCGCGGTTGCGCGCGTTATCTCGAGAAAGTGGGAACAGAATCGGATAAAGAGAGCAACGGTATCGTCGGCTCGAAGAGTAACGAGGTTTCCCTCGGTTGGTTAATCCGCCGCGGATTGGATCGCGCGAAAACACGCGCACTAACACGATTTTCGTCGGGCTCTCGCCCTTCCGCCCTCTCGCCCTCTCACCCTCTCGCCCGCGCCGGAAGTAGCGGAACCGTGGCGGCGTCGGTGACACTCCGATCGTGCATCGTGTTTCGCTTTCGACGGAAAAAAAATGCGAACCGCGCGTGTAGAGCTGTTGCTCGCAACCGACGTTCCGGGACGGCGAATCAGACACCGCGCCGTTCAAGAATTCGCGGATCTTTTCAACCCCCGAGACCAGGTTATTCGACTCGAAGCCTTTCAAAATTAATGACAATTTACGAGTATTAATGACAAATCAAGCGTTTTGTGTGTCGTCAGCAATTTCCGCGTTTACATTAAAATCATATCTATTAAATTTAAATTAAAACTCACATTAATTAATAAAGTAGATATATCTATTATTTATTGTTTGCATATTATGATATAGTTCGCGTGATTCATGATGAATAGATTATCTCTGTTTCACAGCGTTATAATGGCGTACGTGGCTCTCGTATGCAAATGAGTGGGACCATTCTACGCTTGCAGGTATTGCATTACGGGTGCGACGGATCGTCAACCGGCAACCGGAAATATTTACGGGACACCCTACGAGCAACGGCACGGGCGCCGCCCTATCATTATCGGCCCGCTTTGCCGGATTTATCGAAAGCGATCCGGCACGTGCCAAGCGATCATTAACCGCCCCGGTCATTAAGGGCCAGAGCACATGCTCATGTTTATATTGTGGAGCATTTCCGCGTGTCTCGTAACTCTGAAAGGCAATTGTCTAAAATCTTTATCGTATCGGGTGCCAATTCCAGAACCAAGTTTCTCTTGAAACCGCGTTCTCGAGACTTCGAGATACAGTCTATCTGTCGCGACGCTTGCTATAAAATTACAATGACTCATTTCGTCCGGTCGGATAAGTGATTTTGATTTTAGATAGATCTGATCTCTGAAACTCGGCGGGAGCAACCCAAAATTTACTCTATCGACTGGCGCGGGTCCACGTATACGTATATACTGACGAATAGCCTGTGCCAGCTGATGAGGCGGAAGGCACGTAAAGAGATAAAGCGGCGAAACGGAGGGACGAGACACAGAGGGATGCTCGCGCGATGGGAGGGAGGAGTGAAGCGAGAGCGGGAGGTCGGGTAAGAAATGCGGGGTGGAAGAGGGACGCGAGACGGGACGGGGAAAGAGAGAAATCAACTTTTATTTGCCCGGAACGTCGTTAGGGGTAAGTGGAGGACCGAAGGGTGGCCGGACGTAATGGCGCCCCTCAACCCAACCTCGGCTCTTGCCTTCCGGTATCCGTAGCGTGTCTATCGTGCCTCTTTATCCTGCTCTCCCGGTCTCTCTCTCCCCCCCCCTTCCCCCGCTCCCCTCTCTCCTCATCATCCCACTTTCCCCCTTTTTATCTCTCGATCCGAGAAACTCCCGCGTGTCTCTGTCCGCCTATCTATTGGCGAGTGTTCGCCCGTTATCAAATTGGCGATGTCTCCCGCCCGGAAGTTTCACCGGAAGTAAAGTATCACCGGACTTCGACATGGATGAAATTGTAGAGAATCAAAAAAAATTTGTTATAAATTTATTTTAAATCTCCTGTCAAATGATATCGAAATATGCCTTCTGCAGGAAATGCGCATAATTCAGTTCAATTTTAGCCACTTGTAGCGATTAAAAGTATTTTTATTTTAAACCGTAAACGCGATCATTAATTTTGCTTACACATTTTAGTGATGTTCATTGCTACAAAGGGTATTTCAACGCAAGTCTCACCGAAGAGAAGTGACGGCGCTTGCGGTCGCAATTTAATAGACCGTGGAAGAAGCGATTAATTCTCGAATGACATAGCTCCGACCCTGATTCCCGACCAGACATATTACCATCACAATGGCGCACGTCGAGTGGGCACGAAAAGAAGGGTGGGCGGGACGACGAGATTGCGACGTCCGGCGTCCCGACGCCCCGAAATGCCACTACTCTCTTCCGCTTTTCTCGTACGCGACGCCCAGTCGATTACGCGTACGCCAAATACGTTTGATTTAACCATATCTACCGGCGAAATGGATTTCATACATTTGTTTGTGGTGTTTGCGCATATTATAATCCACAAAAAATATACAATGCGAAGGTAATCTGCAGCGATTTTCTCAAATCTGCGAATTAACAAACCTTATTATAATTTAATTTCTTTGTAATAATAATAAAAATGGTCATTATTTTTATTCAAATGTTGTTATAATATTTTTATTCAAATATATTGGACTAATATTTTCAAAGAAAGAACTTTATCCGTAACATGAAACAAAATTAGCGGACGCACTATACATTTACATCCAAGTGAGTTTTTTTTTTTTTTTATAAGATAGCTTTGCGATATTTTTTTCTTTCGCGAGCAATAATCAATTAATCGCGATTATCCTTCTCGATGTTCTCCGCGATCTTACGACCCGTAAGCTTGACACGGTAAATTTAGCGCGTTAGATACACTCGGTAAGAGCTACCGGGTGACCGCTCGACGGCAGCATCTTTCACCCGTCATGCGTATGGTCACGTGCCGTCTGGCTTCGCGTGCGTATACACATTTAATAGCTGTCGGGACATTATGTCGAAAACCCTCCAACGCCGACGCTATCGCGGGGGCCTTTGTGTATAAAATAAGACGTTCTCCCATCCGCGCGGCGGAGGAGCGAGGTGGAGAACGGCGGGGCGCGTTGGAGGCAGGACGGAACTCGTTCGGGGGACGAGAGAAGGATGGCTCGGCAGATATTACGACGAGTAGTTCCAACCCCCAGACTTCCGTCGTGATAAATTAACAGGAGCTTACGACGCTTCTCTCTTTCTCCCTCTCTCTCTCTCTCCCTCTCTTTCGCTTGTCCTCTCTCGTTTCTTTGTCGAAGAATTAGGCGTCGCGAAGACGCTCAATCGGCACTGATAATAATCAACTATTGTCTTTTTTTTTTCCTAAGTGATTTACATCGCGGATTCTTTCTAGCGAGTTTGTAGAAATTAATCGTATCGAGTGTTTGATAATATTTTTCAATTGATCCTGCGGCTTTCTCTTCTTTTCTTTCATTCTTCCAGCCTTAATTTATCGTATTCATCTATTTAAAAATATGATACTTGAGGTATATGTAGACTGTGCGAGAGATATATGATATAATAAATTTTGAAAGTATTGAAAATTTAAAAAGAAGAATAAGGAAAAATTGTATAAAAATATTTTCAATAGCGCCGTATAATCGTCCTTTTCCTTTTTAACCGACGGGATTAGTCTCCGCCGGACGGTCTGACCGCGGGGAAGCGGCGCAAAGTAAACGAGATTTCACCCGAGGGATGACGAAAAACACAGCGAGAGTTGAGTCCCGCGGCGAGTAAGCGTAAGTATAAGCGGCGTGTGTGTAGCTTCAGTATGTAACAAGGCGATTATTTATTTAACGTGGGGTAAGACGCGCGGGGGCCCCCGCCGCGTACGCGCCGCGTGCGAGATACGAAATTTCAATAAGCCACACGTGAGAATTCGCGGTAATATAACCTCATCAGAAAATGTAACGGGGGCGAACCAGGCCGCGCGCGAATAGATAATAATAAACGAGCGTTAATAATGAACGGAGTTAGGGGAACGAGGGACCGAGCCCGCGAATATACGTGCTCGAGCGTACGTGCACCCCAGTACCTCCCCTCTGGTCTCACCCTCTCATTAACAAGATTCTAATTCCTTATCAACGACATCGAATTTCTTACGGTGTGAACGTTTTATGATAACCCCCGCGAGTCAATAATAATACCGTCGCCAATTAACGCGTTAAATATTTCCGCGCCGTACTTAGTCCTCCGAATTACTTACGTCTACGAAACATTATTCGCAATTAAAGACGATTAAACGTTACGTTTCTGCTGCGGTATCTTCCATAAAGATTAATCCTATGTAAAACTGAGGGAGAAAATGAAAAATACGATAAAATGATTTTTCCATTGTACAAATATTAATTCTATATAAGAAGAATTACTTTCCTTAAAACAAATAGTACCTTCCTATATATACTGCATCTTTACTTTTCCGTATCTTAATGGTATGTAATATCTATATTTACTCGCGCATATATAATAATCCGTTTCAAAAAAGCTCCTCCGCGCGGTTAGAAAGAGGGAAAGGGGGTTGAAAGGGGATAAACGACTGTACCGCATTACTTCTGTAAGAGTATCTACTACGAGCGACCACCATCAACGATCAGCGGTGTACGGCCGCATGTCGTGTAGAGTAGCAGCAGCAGCAGCAGCAGCAGCAGCAACGAGGGTAACGAGAGAGACAGAGAAAGAGAGAGAGAGAGAGAGACGAGGGGGGAGGCGGGGGAGGCGAACTAGCGCAACCCTGGAGGTCGGGCTATCATAATATAGATTAGCTCATATGGCTCCTCCCTTGTGTTAGCTCGGATCTGGCTCATAGCCTCGAGTGCTCCGGGATTCACTATTCATACACGCGACAATT